TTAAGAATTTGCCAAATTCTCGAAGAATGAAAAATGTTAACAGAGTAAATCAAGACCCGGGTGAAACTTGTCCCCACATATGACATGAAATGGCATTTCTTAAAGAAATAGAGTAACCATGGCCACAATAATGTCATACTGAATAATGGACAGTTGTCTGAACTTAATCTTACTATTCAATTCCTGATCCAAGTTTTAAATCTTTCTTATTTTGGTTGGAAAAAAGCTTGGAAACTGCATATTAAATAGAGTGGATAAACACAGCAGTGCCAAAAAAGGACAGCATAAAGGTGTCAGTGTGAATTGGTCTTGGTGTCACTAAGGTTACCTCCAAGAGTTTATTTTACTTCAGTTTAGCAAAGGTGCAACTGCAAGCTGTGCAAAAAATACTTTCTTTCATAGAAGGCTTTCTTCAGCTTCAACCAATGAAAAATTCTGACTTCCACGTTTTACCCGTTGATAAGACGATTCTCCAATAATATCGTCACCGTGTAAATTCAGTCAACCGAAGGAGACAGAATTTTTTTTGAATGCATCAACCATTTAAAGGTTAATTAAACAAGTATAATTATACAATTATAAAATGCATTTGAATATTGTGAGCATGCCAATCAGCATGGTACTTTTCTCCACTTGTAATAAAGTTATTAACAAAGTGTAAATAAATGCTAATTATTGGGCAATGTTACAGGCAAGAATCTTTGACATCATCTATTTACTTATTTATTATTTAAAGGTTAAACTCTTGTAAGTAACCTTTAAATAGGGGATTGATGGGTCAGTGCATATGTTTTGAAGAAAAGTGATCTGCAGCATATATACTGTTATGATGTATATATAGTAGTTAAAACAAATCTATAGCAAAACGTATAGTATTGTGTATTATACAGTATAGCTTGGCATTGGGCTCCGCCACTGTTAAGCACTCCAAGACACTGTCGTGAAGGGCACCATATAAATGCAAGTTGTTGTTGTTATTGTTCTAAAAGAAGCACCGAATATTCAGATAAATACCACTTAATCACAATAAGTATTGCACATTGGGAATATGCGGGCAAATGGATTTTGTGACCAAAAATAGAAAAAAATATTTTAAAGGAACACTTCCAAAGGCATCCAACTACTTGTCCTGAATTAACACAAACATATGGGGTTACAAACTGAGACATGAGCACTGTTTCATTTAAAACAAATGCTCGATTAACAGGTCTCTGTTGTGCTAAGAAGAAGAAGTATAGATGATGCTACTATTGCTACTCAAGTATATCTTCAGCAACGTTTCCAGCAAACCACTTTAAAATATTACAAAACACAACACTGTTAAAAAAAAGACAGCAGGACATGGTGGGGAGTGAAAAAACATAATTGTCCTCAACAAATGACTTGTTTATACAATTCCCCTTCAAGCCTTGCAGAATCTAGTTAACATGTAATTCAAGGACAGGTCTGAATTAGTAAGCAAATTTGTACAACTGGTATTAAGAGAGAGTAGCTATTTTGGGAAACCAAATAAAATGTTTTCTCTATTTTGCCGGTAGCGCAGGAGGTTTTTTCTTGGAATTTAGCTGAATATATTCATATATTTTGAAAAATACTTGATGTCTTAATGCCTACTATTTGTGAAAAAGTATTTCACTACCAATCCGGAAATAGCTATAGCTGTTTCTTGCAACCAATGATCAGCAAACCTATAATGTAAAACAGTTCACAATGGAAATGCAAAAAGGCTCATCACATTCTCTCCAGTAAAATTAGACACATTTTTCTTCTGTGCCCTTACCTTGTAAGATAGATAATTGCCCAAGGCAGCACCCACAATCACCACCCACACTGCTAAAATCTTGATCTTAGTCAGGTCAACATCATCAAGATGTATCAAGTGAGCGGAGGAGGAAAAACACAAGGTGATTCAAGATATCTGAATTGTCAGTTACGGTTATTGGACATTAATTATGCATCAACACAAATTTATAATACTGTTCATAATGTTCATAACAGTTTTGTAGTTTATTCCCCAATGCAAAGCTATCTGGAAAGAAAGTAGGGATAGAGACTAAAGAACTATCTATCTGTGTGCTAAATTAGGGATGGCTCTTCAACCACAAGCATCAGGATCTCACGCCCTCTAGACCGAAACCAATGCAAGCACCAATGCCATTTCCAGGTCACAAATTTCAGATCAGAGTAATAAAACTATTACAATGTGAAGAATGCAACCAACTTTGATAGTTGGGCAGAAGACTGAAGTTCAGGACATCAACTGCAGCTGTAATAAACCAATAGTAAGTATTGCTCCTCAATATAAAAATAGCTATAGAAGATGAGAAAAGAAAGAAAAATAGTGGAGGGAGAGTTTAAGAAAATGGGGNAAAAAGGAAAATCAGGCAAACAAAAGTAATCTGAAAATGAAAGAGAAAATAATTTCTCTCCCATCCCCAATTAACTGCATGCTTTGCTTCCTATACTTAATATATCATTGTTGATATCTTCATTTATCCCAATTTAATTCAATGTATTCCATCCCGTCCTCTCCACTTTTCATCAAAACCACCAGAAGGAAGCAATTGATTGTTGTAGAAGGTTTCACCCAACGTTAGGCTATCATCTACATCAGGGTAATCCAGATTCCCCATTCGAGAAAGGTCCGCAGGCCGCATAAGCCAGCGAGGTCCAACTGCCGGCCTGCAGTGCGAGAGAGTGGGAAGGAGCTGGAATGTTGGAAATAAACCAATAGTAAGTACTACTCCTCAACACAGAGGGCCGGATAAAATCACCCATCAGGCCGGACGCGGGCCGTGGACCGTCAGTTGGATCAGAGTACATCCCCACTGAACCCACTGCACGAGCCTAGTAGTACTGCAGTCATTCTCTTACTGTCAGGTCAACATCATTCAGAACAGTCTAACACGTTATAAAACTCTTACTGCTTTCGATGAAGAAATGGTGTGCAAAAGGCTGCTGATCGCAATAGAACGACAGACAGGTCTGGTGTGCATTTTATACAGCAGCTGTTATGCAAGTATAGTAATCAAAAGCATTAAACTATTTACTAAACCCGTCCAAACAGTTTAGAATTACAGCTGATAGCATTCACTGGATGCCAACAAAAACAGACTTCGTTCCCCATAAACAAAATATAAAAAAAGAAACTAACGTTTCAAGGCACCATTTAAGACCTTAAAAGAATTTCCCAAATCCTTCAAAAGTCATACGGTTAGCAATGAAGAAGCATTACTACTATCCAAATCAGTACATGGGAACTCATAATCACAATAAGGACAAATGTGAAGCTATTTTCTGTTCAGTCACAAAGCAGTGTTATGTTGTTTATAGGTGAAGCTCAAGCACACAAACAATGGCTTTAACTGCACTCACAGTTCCTGTGGTCCAATCTTTCAAATAAGGAAATATTTTCTTTCATTAGCATTTGGCAAAACGTCAACGCACATGCATATCTAGAGTTTGTACATATCAACGTACATTAATGCTCAACCAAGAACAATTAAGACCATAATATTTAAAGCTTCACACAATTTGTACTGTAGTGGCAATCAGCAACTCATCTCATTTCTATTTTGGAATAATTTTAAAAAGTCAAAAGGATGACAGATTTCATTAAATATGTCCTTCAAGAAGTTAAAAGGAATTATACTTTTACGTTATGGATTGCAATAACTAGCGACTAGAATATTAAGAGTTCATGCCCAATGTCAGGAGCTCATTGTCTCGGCTGACACGCCAGTATATAATAATAATAATCCTTGCATTTGATATAGCGCTTTTCACGTCTTCTAGACCTCTCAAAGCGCTTCACAAAATATGCTGTAAAGTGAATTGACCATATATTTGTGGGCGAAACACGGCAACCAATTGCGCACAGCAGTGTCCCACAAACAGTTGTGGATTGAAAATGGCCAATTTATTATTGTTTTGTTTTGGAGGGATTATGATTAGGCTCTGTGTGGAGTAAGGAAACTTGCCCAAGGTTTTGCCCTGCCTGGAATTGAACCCAGGTGTCTCGCTTGCAAAGCGAGTGCTCTAACCACTGAACTACAGGACTCCACTCTGCAGTATAGTACTGTGAGAGGACTGCATTATCAGAGATGCTGCTTTTCAGATGAGATGTTAAACCAAGATTCCTCCTGGCAGTTCTTCAGGTGAACATTAAAGGTCCCATGATACTATTTTTTTTAAAAAAAGTTCAAAAGTTCACAATCACTAGATTTGACAGTAATTACTGTAAAACACTCTGAAATTTCCAAATGATAAGGAACTATAAAAATGGTATAAAAAGTTTTCTTCTTTCATGGTTTCCAAAAGTTTTTGATGCCAGGCAGTGGTTCACTTTCTTCATAAATATGGTAGAAATTCTGATCATGGGGTTATCACAGACCAGCACAAGTTCTTGGACCAGTCGGTTACTGAGAAACACTGATGTACACCACCCTCGCGGCCAAACACATTTTACCCGAATGTCAAACCTCACAAATGCTTACCATGACACCACGGAACTGCAAAGCAGCAGAAGTATTGTAGAAAGGTAACCTCTGGCTATCAGCAGGTTTGAGTTTCCTACAATGCTCAGCCTTCCCCCTCACCAGTGTTTAAATTAGACAATACAATTATTCGTTAAATATCGTGCTACTTGACGTGGTATAACTGGACATAAAATACATGTATACGTGAAGAACATTTCAAGTCACCTAGAAGGATGAAGCATGCACCCAAATTACAAAAATGAATATTTTAACGTTTGCTTCTCATTTGTCCGATTGATTTCATATTGCCTGGTCCCTTTTCGAAGGATATGCAACTTTATTGCCGCAAACCAGTATCTAAACATTTTTACGCATAAAACAAGAAGTTGGCTAAAACTTGCAAGTTATTTATTTTTCCAAAAAATGTTTCAATATACTATTGAGACAAGACACAAAAGAAAACAAAATGTTACTATGATTTGGATGTTATGTTTCATTGTTACAATATCATAACGATCTTACCACTCACTGAAGATCTGAAATAGGATTCACTTTGCTCAAACTATCTCATGCTGTATAACCACGGAGCCGAGTTGATCATCACAAAGAGGGCTTTGACACAGACCATTCCACCCCATCAGCTGGAATATATATGTTCTGGCATGAAGCCTGCAAGGACAAGAAAAGGCAAGAAGGATTTACCATAGACGTTTCATTAATTCAACACTTTTTTAAAAAAAAATTATGCAAGCGTAAAAATATTACGAGATAATTATTGGTATTTTGAAATTTAAACTGGCTATATAATCAAACAGTCCCACAGCTAAAACTAATGGCTTAACCCTTTCCGTACCTGGTGAGATGAGTAGTGTACTGCTCTCAGAAGTATGTGTGAAATGTCACTACTCATGGTCAAAATAATATGTTTAATACAAATTTAAGCTGAAGAGAGGGCAAATTAGAGGGTCAAAAGGTTAAATCGGTCACAAATGCTGGGTGAAGAGGAAACATGGAAGCATTCAAAATGGGATCAATATTGTTATTTGCCTAATTAGGTCACTTCAAATATAAAAAAAATGCAAGTCAGCTCTTCATCGTGGCTGCTAAACATCTCAAATCATGTCACCAACCATCAAAATGTTGTTTCATTGAAAAGCTGTAATTTATTAGTAGTTCATAGCAATTACTTTCAACTAGTCACAGTTAAAGGAACACAATGGGTATTGCAAAGTCTTAATTTGATGTGATGATTGCGTTAACAATTAGCTTTCCACAATTTTATACTTTGAATTACTGTACATTGTCATATGACCTTAAAGGGAAATGATTTAGCACGAAATTCAGAATGAATTCAGAATAACAAAAGGTTATTTTGTTAAAACCTGTTGTAATTATATCTTGAGGTGCTATATGTGCAGTTTTGATTATGTAAAACAATCACAACAAATGTACATCATGCCAACAAAACTACAGCAGTATAATCCAGCTCTTGCAGTGGTGCCTTTGTATATTAAAAGTACTAATGTTTAAAATATATTGCAGTGTGATGAAAGGTGGCTCTAATTTGCATTTATGAAAGCAAGTATCTATACGCTTCTTGTTCTCACTTAATGCATTTAATTTTCCAGCTTTGAATAAAGTCTTTTGATCCAGTGTTGCAAATCTCATCAACAACCAATTGAATTTCTAATTTAAGACCCATCAATAGAATGGCATAACCATGGTTAGCAGAAATGCTCCACAGTGCTCAACTTTAAATGCAGAACTCCAGTAGAGATGAACAGATTCAACAAACAGGAATCCTCTGAGACATATCTTTCTGATCCTCAAAGTAACAGATGGGATTATACTTCAGGAGTTGCCAAATTTATATAAAGTCCTCACTTACAATGAAAGCTTTGGAGCTTTCAAAATATGTATGTGTTTGCTGAAAACTGATTAAATATTAAATAATATTGCATATGAAGCAGAACCAGAGATATATATGGAAGTTTAAAAGGACATGACAATTCTTAATTCAAATAATTTTTTGTCTATATTTAATACAGTATAGTGAACTGGTTTAGTGCAGAAAAGCAATTGTAGTCTCCATTGAATTGAAGCAGAACCAAATCAAACTTCTTCCGTCTAGTTCTGAAAGAATACCTTAAATCTCATCTAACGGAGTATTAGATAGGTATACTGTATACAGCCTTGCACAGTGTTGGCAAGACATTTTTCACACAGTCACAAATTTAACACAAAAAAATGTCCATGTAATCAGACAACTCAATGCGAGCCTGGAAGTCGATTCAGGCTTTGTGACATGATAGAGTGCTCTATATCCAGTTTTAGAACGCACTCTTCCCTCTGCTCTCTACACATGGTTCTCTATGGGACCAGGAGTCCTTCTGTGTAGTGATAGCTTTAAATAAGTATCACTCACAAGAGACAGGGAGTCTAAACTGCCTTTCATGTCCTAAACTGCTCAAATCTTCCTCTAGCTGTTGGGAGAAACATTTCCTTTCAGCTTCCTCAATGGTTAATTTGGTTAAACATCTGATCAGAATGCACAGACATTATGAGAAAATTAATCACCACTAATGAGATTCTAACAGACTGGAAGCAAGCAAATGTTCCCATATTCAAGAAAATTGATCAAACTATGCCTGATAACTGGAGACCCATTAGCTAGAACTTAATAATTGGAAAATGACAATCAACTATCGGAAAGAAAATGGACTATCACTTGTATATGTAAACAAAATCTACAACAAGATTACACTTGTATAGCGCCTTTCACGTTGGGAGAACGTCCTAAGGCGCTGACAGAGTACAGTATTTCAGACCCGAGCTGGGGTTGGGTGGGGGAAGGGAGGGAAGGGGGGTGGCCGATGGCATGGTCGAAGAGGAGGGTCTTGAGGCGGGACTTGAAAGAGGCTAAGGAGGGGGCGAGGCGGAGTGATTGAGGGATGGAATTCCAGAGGTTGGAGGCAGAGTGGCTGAAGGCTCTCCCGCCAATGGTGGGGCAAGTGGGTCGGGGGATGTGGAACAGGCCAGAGTCGGCTGAGCGGAGGGAGTGGGAGGGCTAGTGGGGGGTTAGGAGGTTGCAGAGGTAGGATGGGGCGAGGCCATGGAGGTCTTTGTATGTGAGGACCAGGATCTTGAACTGGATCCTCTGAAGGATAGGGAGCCAGTGGAGTCGGGCGAGAGTGGGGGAGATGGAGTCATGGAGTTTGGTGCGGGAGAGGACAACCTGGAGCCTGGAGGTTTGACTACGCAAATGCAAATCTACCAAACAATAGCCAATATGGGTACACAAGGGTAGATCCGTCCATTCAACCTCAGACTTTTTTTTGATGAAGTGACACCCAAAATGGTTTGTAGGAAGCAATATTATGAACTGTATGTAATACATCTAGATTTTCAAAGGACCTCATGAAAGACTATTTCACAAACTGAGGTTACAAGGTATCAATACATACAGTCAATTCACTTTACAGTATATTCTGTGAAGCGCTTTGAGACATCTCAAAGACGTGATAAGGCTCTATATCAAATGCAAGAATTATGATTATCAAGGGTGGGACATGGACATGAATTCAAGATTGGCTATAGGGAAGGTAGCAAAAGGTTGTTGTTGGGAGAACAGGTCAAAATTGGGAGCGGATTAAGAAGCGACCTCAGGAGTCTGTGATGGGATCCCACCTTTCCTTGTATAGATTAGATTTGCTGATCCAGTATAAAGCTTTTAAATTTTGCAGAAAACAAGTTGGTGGGGGAGAATCAGAGAAGCCAGCAAGGGTCTTACAAAGATCTTGATAGGGTATGTACAGAGCTGATAACTGGCATATAATATTCCTTGTATCTCAGGACCCTCCTCTTCGACCGTGCCTTCGGGCACCCTCCTACTTGTACCCTTCCCGCCTTCCATTACGCCTGATCTCAACCACCAGCTCGGGAGTGGATCCAGCGCCTTGGGATGTCCTCCTGACGTGAAAGAGGCTATACAAATGTAATTTGTTGTTGTATTTTATATAGAACGTTTCAATTGGGAGAATATCTCAAAGCACTTCACAGGATATACAGCACCTACGGGTGTCTTGCTGACGTGAAAGGTGCTAAATAAATGCAATTTGTTATGGTTGTATACTGTGAAGTGCATTGATAGTGTATTTTGTAGACCAACACTGCAGCTAATTTGTGTACAGCCACGAGGTGATTGAAGCTTTAAGACATCCAATATGAAAGACGCTATATCACATGCAAAGATTATCAAAATACAAGGCTTATTCATTTCTTGTAAGTGTAGATATAAAGTAAAATCAGATAAGCACATCCATAAAAGGGTGATTTCCAGCATAATGTCAAAACAACTATCCATAATAATATAGAAATTAAGTTTTTTTTAAACAAAATTACCTTATTCATCATTAAAATTCAATGCGTGTTCCTTCAGAACTCTGTGAAACAGACTAACCTTTTTTAGTACACAATTGATGAACTCTGGAGATTGCAGCACCTTGGGACATCCTCCCGACATGATACAAATGTACACTATACAAGTAATCTTGTTATTGTTTCCAATTCACTCACTCTGTTTTAGCTGAACACTAAGTTCTAATTATTTTTCAAAATATTTACAGTAGTTGAGATATTCCTTAGTTATCACATTCAAACTTGTTAATCTAATGATCCTTGCAATTGTTTCCTCAATCCCAAAAAGCCCTCACACATCAATGAACTAGAAACATTTGGTCACACAAGACCAAACGGCAATAACTGCAACAGACAATAAACTGGTGCTGGAGTTTAGAAACTTTAAAATACCAAGACAACCAAAAATGTTCTGGATTTATTCAAATAAAATGCAAGTTATCAATTCTTATACAACCAGTCTACGATATTTTCCCAAAACAACAAATAACAAAAACACTCTTACGTTAGTTTAGTAGAAAGTTTCATGCTTTTGAAGACTATTATTGTAACAAATCAAGTGCTGCTTAGAACCTTGAATTACAATTTTTTGTTTTTAAAAACGAATTATACATCCAAATAACAGTTTAAATAATGCTGTATTTTTGCATCCAAGACGCAATCCCCAAAAAAGCAACTTGGAATATTTCAAATTAATTATTTCAGATTAGCATTGGGTACAAATGGGCTAAATTGAGTATGCTTCAGATGAGGGAACAAACTTATTCAGCTCACTGTCAATCCACATTAACGGTGTTTTTATTTTATGACTGCCTCCAGAGACTGGGTACATCAAAGCTTCCACAACATAAAAGAGCTACTCTGATAACATCTACAGATCTGCAATGCAAGAGTTTAATAGCATACCACTCTAACAACTACAATGGTGCCACAGACAGTGACAAATTAACAAGTTACAGTTTAGTTACTGAGACGGTTGGCTGAGGCCAGGACACTGGACTCATTTTTTTAGTCCAGCTTGATGTGATAGGAAAATGATAGGATGAGTATTTGGAAGCATGAGATCAAGCGAGCCTTCATCATTCCAACCAACCAATATGAAACTCATCAAGACCATCTCCAACTCAAACCTGTGGCTTCTTTGTCAGGCAACCTAGAACTAGCTCCACCAAACCAGAAAGAAAACAAAGCATTAAATTGATAGAAACATAGGAGATCTAACTAAAACTAAATTACAAACTGGAAAAAACAAA